GTTAAAACAACTTCAACATACGAAATGTTCTGATTGCACCACAAATGCAGCAGTCATCCTTACCTTTCACAGAGGCGCTGAGTTTTATAAATATGAGCATGATAGTGTAGAATAATCATATCCAAGGACCAGTGGTGGGTTTCAAAAAAAAATTGGAACTTCTTCTGTAGGTGTGGCCTGCTTTCCGGGTCCACTGGTGGAACCTCTTCTAACCAGTTCGGTAGATTTGATGAACCGGTTCTACCGAATATGTGTGAACTGGTAGGAACCCACCTCTGGTCCAGGATCTGGAACTAATCGTCTGAATTGAATGCTAGGAGAGGAGAATGGCAAGGGAACCAGGGGTGGGATTCAGCCACTTCGCACTGGTTCAGGCCAACTGGATGTTAATTTTGCATCCAGTTATCCAAACCGGCTGTTGCAAGGACCAGCTGGCCACGCCCACCCTGCCACGCCCTTCCAGGAGTCTCCACACGGCTCATTCATCATGCCACTTAAGTGCAGGGCCGGCGCAGAGGCTCTGGGAGGGTAAAAAACAGGCCTCTCGGAAGGGCTTCCGGAGCCAGGAGGAAGCTGTTTTCACCCTCTTGGAGGCTTGGGGAAAGCCTCTGGCAGCTGGGGAGGGCAAAAAACGGGCCTACCAGAAGTACCAGAAGTCTGAAAATGGGGCCGTTTCCGTCCTCCGGAGGGCCTCCAGATCCCCAGGGAGGCTGTTTTCGCCCTCCCGTAGGCTTGAAAAAAGTCTCCGGAGTCTGGGGAGTGTAAAAGCGCTCCACCCCCCCATGGTGCAGGAGGCTGAGTAGGCCCCACTGACCCTGGCGACGCCCACCCACAACAGGGCAGACAACCGGTTGCTAAAAGTTGACCTCGAGTTTCTCCTCTTGCAAACCAAAGTTCCTGTATTTCACCTGTAACATGCCTTATGAGCATGACTTTCTTTCATTTTTTTTTTAAAATAAACATGTTACAGGAGAATGTAGAAGATGCTCCTGCTTTCAAGAATGGTCTCCCTTTTGGATGCTCTCAGTTCCCGATTTGGATCAAACCCATGAGAGGAGCATCATCCTGATAGTCTTAGGATTTAAGGGGAATAACAGAATATGAGAGTTGGAAAGGACCTTGGAGGTCTTGTAGTCCAACCCCTGTGCGAGGCCAGGAGAGTTACAGACAGATGTTTCCATGATCACAGAGAGAAGATAGACAAAACTCTTTGGCCACTTCATGAACTGAATGAAAGAATTTTATATTCTAAACAATGACCAATCATGTGACAAAAAGGCATAAATATTTAAAAATATACGTGTGTGCATATAATGATGTATGTATGTATGTATGTCTGTCTGTCTGTCTGTCTGTCTGTCTGTCTGTCTGTCTATCTATCTATCTATCTATCTATCTATCTATCTATCTATCTATCTATCTATNGCTCACATTTAAATGGTTGTCCACTAGGACTCCAAGATCCCTTTCACAGTTATTTCTATTGAGCAAGGTATCACCTATACTGTACCTAGGCATTTCGTTTTTGTTGCCTAAATTAGAAACTTACTCTTTTCACCATTGAATTCCCTGACTGCTTACACTTTCCATTTGGAAAGAGCCTGACAGATGATCTGTTTTCTTCCTTGTGATTTAATTCAGTGTGATATGAACTTCCAATCTGGTCCAAGGTCTCTTCCAACACTAATATTTTGAACCAAGGCATGTAATATCATCCTACCCACAAGAGGCCACTAGAGGTCTCGGAACTGCATTGCAGACTCATTGCATTTCTTTTTCTTTTAAAAAAAGTTGAGGCTGTATAATGTTATTGTGCTTTTTTCTACTGCCCTGAGAAGACTCAGAAGTTATTGCTTCTCCTTTTTTCCTCTTCATCCTACATGTCCCTCTTCCCCTTTTCCCTATTATTTTCATTTTCATTTGTATTTCATACTTTGATAAATTTAATAAAATGATATTAAAAAATGATCGGTTGTATCTGACGTCTCTTTACAGTAGACTTAAATTGAGTACGTTGCAATAATCCAAACTGCAAATATCTAAGGCACGTGTCACCAATCTGACCTCACTAGGAATAGATGCTTTCTAAGCCTGGAGTTATTGTTAGAAAATTAAAATAACTGAAGACTCCACCCCTGTGCTCTGTGAGGAAGTGTGCTCACCTATCCAGAAGCTAGAGAATATTCCAGAAAGCTAGAGGTAAAGGTGGGAACAATTTCAACAGTTTTGGGTGGTTCATTACTGGTCCTAATTTTATGAGTCTATCCAGAAAGTCCTCTCTCTATTCCAATTATGACAACTTTAACCTGAAAAGATTGAGGCACCTAATTGTGCTGTTCCATAGAGCTGGAATAGTGACAGAGTAGGAGTATGTCCCCAGTTCCACAAGATGAAATTCATTTTTTTTTAAATTACCGGTTCTATGGGTGTGGATTGGTGGGCATGGCAGGGTAAGGATACTGCAAAACTCCATTCCTACCCCCCTCCTGGGGGAAGGATATTGCAAAATCCCCATTTCCACCCCACTCTGGGACCAGCCAGAGGTGGTATTTGCCAAATGAACCTGAATTCATTTGAACCGCCTTGGCTGACTTTATGACAAGTTCACTTGTGAGATAATACGGTTTAAAAGAATGCACAAAATGTACTGTGCAAATTCTAGACATAGATTCCACCTGCCTGTTGAGTAGTAGCTTTGAATTTAAAAGCATCACCAAGTTGTGTGTCAATCTTGAATGGAGAAATAAAAGCCCACACAACATCAACATTCAAAAAAGAGGAGAAGGTAGTTCAANCTGGTTCAGTTCCAAGTGAGGAGAAAGACACTGGATACATGGAGGCTGCTGGGAAAGATGGTGTAATGAAGCAGAACCATCAAGCACATGGTCCTGGTGCAGCTGGCCACATGGAGTGGAGAGTGAGGGTTATTTATACCCTCTCTTGGGCCTTGCCCTTGAGCTTCCTGTTCCTGTGCAAGAAATGTATTCTATTGGCTGTAGTCAGACTCCCATGGGGCCATGTGGGGTCATGTTTGTCTGAATCAAGTTGGTTGAAGCCTAGAGGGTGATACAATGTCCCCAGGTGATTTTGTAATGCAGTGAGCTCTGCTGACAAATAATCCTATTATATCCTGGAGGGTCATGTTTTAATCCCATCACCCTGGAATTGAAGGTCTTTTGTTTTTGTAGATAGGCTGGTCCAGTCCTTCTCAATGGGCACCAAATATCTGCTGGGGACAGGGAGCTGAAGCTCTGAGTTTCTGTCTCCCTTAAGATTTTTTTATTTATTTCTTTTTTAGGGGAAATATAATATTCAGCCTTTTTAATATTTTGCAAAATATTTCCTTCTTCTAGGAGGGGTGGGTGCTAACTTTCTACAATTCTATATTGAGAACCTCTTTAAAATGTCTCCTTGGACCTTAAATACTCCTAAATGTAGGTGCAAGTAAGGAGTAAAAAGGGGACACGGTGGCTCAGTGGCTAAGATGCTGAGCTTCTCGATCAGAAAGGTCGTCAGTTCAGCAGTTCAAATCCCCAGCGCCACATAACAGAGTGAGCTCCCGTTACTTGTCCCAGCTTCTGCCAACCTAGCCGTTTGAAAGCATGTAGAAAAATAGGGACCACCTTTGGTGGGAAGATAACAGTGTTCCATGCGCCTTCGGCATTTGGTCATGCCAGCCACATGACCACGGAGATGTCTTTGGACAGCGCTGGCTCTTCGGCTTTGAAATTCAGATGAGCACCTCCCCCTAGAGTCGGGAACGACTAGCATTTATGTGCAAGGAACACCTTTACCTTTAAGGAGTAAGGCTGATTTTTTTTTCTTTCCTAGAAATGCCAGCAAATGAACAACCTGGAGGACAACATGGTTTCTTACAGGCCTCATGTGTACGCAGACGAAGAAATTGACAAAAGCAAATCTCGACTGTCCCTGCTTGTTCCAGAAGATGAGAAAAATATCCTCCCTGATAATCTCCTGGATGGTGTGGAATTTGACCCTCTTAGGAAATTGTACAGCAAGTGATGCCTGCTCTTGCCATTGCACTCATCTTAGTTCATCTGACAATGCCGGTTTTTAAAAAATATAAAATATACTAAGAAATAAGCTCTGAAAAGTATCCAGAGAGTGTCAGCATTTCTCAGCACAAAAACACTCCCAAATTTTAAAAACGTAGAAGGCAATTTTAGCAAAACATCCATTTTGGGATTTGATTTACATTTGCGCAAAGCTGTTTGCTCAAAAAGTGGGATTCCACTTGTTCAAAATTTGCTAGGGACTGGGGGTTGGTAGACAGGTAACAGAGACAAGCAAGTGCCTTTTAGTCATCCCTTGCGATGTAGTTTGTTCAATAATAAATCTATTTTATAACATTACTTTTTACAAAAAATATAACGGCTCCAAGGGGATTTTCCTGTTGGTCTTTTGGAAACATTATTATCAAAGGTGGTAAAGGCTGGCACCGTTGAAGGTATTGGACGGGAAGGCTGTTTGATCATAAGAATCTTATGTTTTTAATCTTTGTTTTTATGAATGGATGTGAACTGCCTAGAATCAATATATGAGATAGGCGGCTGTATAATAGCATGGCATAGCATAACATAGCAAAGCACAATAAAGTAGAATAGAATAACAGAGTTGGAAGGGACCTTGGAGGTCTTCAAGTTCAACCCCCTGCTTAATCCTACACCACTTCAGACAAATGGTGAGCCAACATCTTCTTTAAAACGTCCAGTGTTGGAGCATTCCCAACTTCTGGAGGCAAGTTGTTCCACTGATTAATTGTTCTAACTATCAGGAAATTTTTCCTTAGTTCCAAGTTGCTTCTCTCCTTGATTAGTTTCCACCCATTGCTTCTTGTCCTACCCTCAGGTCAAAGGTGGGTTCCTACCATTTCGCTCCGGTTCAGCCCGGTTCGGCCGAGTAGGTAGTAACTCGGCCGGCCATGCCCCTGAACTGGTTCTATTGTTTTTTGCTTCTGCACATGCACAGTATCAATTTTTTTACTACTGTGCATGTGCATATAGTGTGCATCAAATGTGTGTGTGCGCAAAGCGCACACGCAAATCGCATCCCTGAGCGAACCGGCAGTAGCAGAAGTCAGAACCCACCCCTGCCTCAGGTGCCTTGGAGAATAGTTTCACTCCCTCTTCTTTGTGGCAAACCCCTGAGATATTGGAACACTGCTATTATGTCTCCCCTAGTTCTTCTTTTTATTAAATTAGACATATCCAGTTCCAGCAACCGTTCTTCATTTGTTTTAGCCTCCAGTCCCCTTATCATCCTTGTTGCTCTTCTCTGCACTCTTTCTAGAGTCTCCACATCTTTTCAACATTGTGGCAACCAGAACTGAATGCAATATTCCCAAGTGTGGCCTTACCAAGGCATTATAAAGTGGTATTAACACTTCACGGGATCTTGATTCTATCCCTCTGTTGATGCAGCCTAGAACTGTGTTGGCTTTTTTGGCAGCTGCTGCACACTGCTGGCTCACATTTAAATGGTTGTCCACTAGGACTCCAAGATCCCTTTCACAGTTACTACTGTTGAGCAAGGTACCACCCATGTACCTGTGCATTTCGTTTTTCTTGCGTAAATGTAGGCAAGATTTTCCTCCACTGAATTTCATTTTGTTAGAGAATTTCATTTCTCTCTCTCCAGAAATTTATTTGCATTCTTTTTTTTTTTGCTGTTTATATAAACA